CAGCTGTGTGTCCACCTCACAACAATAATCTCTCTCTGGTCTAACAAACTCACACCCATTGCACACCTCACCATTCTCCTAACCGATTCACACACTCTCCTAACACTCACACCTCATCACCCTAATTTCTATTCCTCTTCCTGCCCTTGGCTTTGTAGACCTTGTTTACAGGTGGTCTAATGGATTCTGAATGGGAAAGAATGGACTAGATTTATTTAATACATATTGCAATTGGAAATACATGGAATTTGATGGATGGTGGAATTCAGTTATCCACATGCTTGAGAGTTGGATCTTTCAGATCATGTTTACTATTCTTCTTTCTTAGGTTAAATGTTAATTTGCTGACTGTAAAGGATTATTTTTTGGGTTTCTTTTGATTTTAAGCTACTTGGTGCTCCCCGGATTTTTGAGAAAGAAACACGCTTTTCTTATGAGGAATTTGAAGACCCTTTATTTAACTTCTTTAAGGATGACCCTGATGATAAATGGGTCAGGGCAACAGATTTCACCCCCTCAAGCTGTATTGGGCAGTCTACTGGATTATGTTTAGAGCTTCCTTATTGCNTCTTTGTTCAAAGAAGCACTTTTTCTGGTTGGCTACTAAGTGATGTTCCACCTAGGTATGAAGGGTGATCTGGAGGTGTTGTACATGTTCACTCATAGACTTGTTGTATACCAAGATGTCATCGTAGAAGACAAGTATAAATCTTAGGAGATACAATAGAAAGATCTCGTTCATTGAGGCTTGAAACGTCAAGGGTGTGTTGGTCAAACCGAAGGGTATAACCATGAATTCATAGTACCCCTCGTGAGTTCAAAAAACTATTTTGTGGGTATCTTCAGATCGCACACGAATCTAGTGATAGCCCGATTTTAGATCGAGCTTTGAAAATATAGTTGCTCTCCCTAGTTCATCAAACAACTCATCAATTGCTAGAATAGGGAACTTATCAGGAATAGTCAGCTTATTCAACACTCTTTAGTCAACACAAAACCGCTAGCCCTTGTCTTTCTTCTTTACTAACAAAATTGGACTCGAAAGGGAACTCACACTAGGCTGAATGAGTCCTGATGCCAGCATCTCCCCAATGATCTTCTCAATTTCATTTTTCAGGTAAAATGGGTACCTATGGATCTAATATTTGGTGGTTGGGCATTAGGTAGTAATCTTATGGTGTGGTCTTGCGGTCTGGAGGGTGGTAACCCCGTAAACAACTCAAAGACAATATGATATTTGTCTAGGAATAGTAATAATTGGACATCTACATTCTGCTCACACTCAAGCGGGATTTGTAATTGACCGAACTCAACCATATATCATGGGCCCTCACTCTGCAATTTCTTGATCATGGCTTTCAAGGACACCGTCGTTGTACTAAAGGATGGGTCAACTATTAACTTTATGGTTTAATCACCTAGCTTAAACCTCATAAACCGTTCCTTCCAATTCATGGTAGTCTCACCTAGAGTTTCTAACCAGGCCATTCCCAACACAAGGTCAAAGTTGCCCATATCAAATGGCAAAAAATCCTGGATGATTTGAATCCCCTGAGGCTCTAAACACACTGCTTTACACTCCCTTTCACTTCTCACCTTATACCCATATCTCACTCTTGCTTCAAACGCCTAAGTTTTCTTAACAGCAAGCCCCAATTTCTCAACAATATCTTTACTAACGAAACTGTGGGAGGCTCCACTATCAATAAAAAAAAAAACCTTTTTACCTTGAATGTTTCCTTTGAGTTTCATCGTCTTCGATCCATTGATGCTAACGACAGAACTGAGTGACAATTCGACAGTATCTTTACTAACAAAATTGTGGGAGGCCCCATTATCAATCAAAACAATAACCTCTTTACCTCCAATGTCTCCTCTAAGTTTCACCATCTTCAGTCCATTGATGCCGACGACAGAACTGAGTGACAATTCGACACTCCCTTGAGGTTGTTCTTCGACTACTTCAACGATGTTGTACCCTTCTATAGGGCCTGGGTCATCCTCTTCCTCATCAACTAAAAGAATCTGAAATTGTTTGTCTCCGCATTTGTGGCCAAGGTGATACTTTCCATCCACTTAAAACACAACCCCTTTTCTCTTTTGCGTTGAATTTCAGCCTCGATTATCTTACGAAAAGGAAAATCTCGTTTTGAAAAAAATGGCCAATCGATAGAGCAAAATGAGATGGTTGGTTGTTCCTATGGTGTGAAGCTGTTTGACGAACTCTGTAGAGACCCCTCTAGGTTTCGTTGAACTGAATTGAAATTGGAAAAAAAACTTAGGGATTCGGGTGGACCTGGATACTTCATATAATGATTGGGTGGGGTCATGTTTTGACTAAAAGTTCTGGGCCCAGATACATTAAACCCATTTCCTTGCCTAAATCCACTCATTCTGATGGGCTTTGGCATTACAATCCGAGCTTCCTCTAAGGCCATGTTCATCTCATCAATACGTTGGGCCATCTCAATAGTCTGAATTAGGGAAGTGGGTTGGGCTAATCATAATTCAGCTCGAATCTTAACTTTGAGTCCATTGAGAAATGCCACGTTTAATTTTTCTTCCTTCTCCTCCATCAACAAAGCGACCACTGCTTCAAAACGACATCTGAAATCAATGACTAAACTGGTTTGCTTCATTGCCATTACTGTCTCATATAGGTTACTTTCTTAAGACCCATTGAAGCGTTGGATTACAGCGAACTTGAATGATGGCTAAGAAGTCACCGGCTCTTTGGTTTCCTTCCACTAGAACCAGTTTATGGCTTACCCCTCAATACAAATTGTGGCCGCTGTCAATTTTCCTTCATCGGTGATCGCATTCAGGCTAAAGTACTGCTCCACCCTAAAAATCTAATCGTACGGATCATTGTTGGAAAATACATGTATTTTTTGCACCCTATTTTGTTCCAATTTTGTCTGTTATTTCCCAAACCTCCAGCCCCATTTCGATTCTCTCCTTCATGGTCATTAACATTTCTCAACTAGTCTCCATTCCTCTGACCTGCTTCTTCTTCATCCCACCTTCTCATCCACATTTGAATTTCTTTCATACATTCTCGAATGGTTCCCATATCCATACCCAACTTTGTCACTTCTTTTCCAACATTGTCCATCGTTGATTCCATTCTTGTCCTAACCATAACCTAGACAACCACGCTTTGATACCAACTGATTGATACCTATCTCAAATCCAACAATAAAAAAACCACAATATCTATCTTCTGACCTGCTTCTTCTTCATCACACCTTCTCATCCACATTTGAATTTCTTTCATACATTCTCGAATGGTTCCCATATCTATACCCAACTTTGTCACTTCTTTTCCAACGTTGTCCATCCTTGATTCCATTCTTGTCCCAACCATAACCTAGACAACCACGCTTTGATGCCAATTGATTGATACCTATCTCAAATCCAACAATCAAACAACCACAATATCTATCTAACCAGAAAAAACCCAGTAAACACACCAGCAAACTCACACAATAAGAAGATGAAGAAAATGATGATATTAGTATTGATATCAGGTATCTACACCAATCAACACAACTTTAATTCAATAGAAAAATAGAAAACAGAACAATGAAAATAAAAATGAAAACACTAAGGAAAACGTAGCCTGCTAGACTTCGACCTCCCAAATGACACTTTTCCACTTTTTTAGAATACCCCCTTAATTCTCTTTGTCCCATTTTATGCCATTCAGTCCCATACTCCATAATAGAATTCACCCACTAACCACACTCACGCTGCCAACTGTCCTCCCAAATTCTCCCTCACACTCACTTGCCGGGACCCTTTCTGTTACATTACCAATAATTCCTTGTTGTCCCCTCCTACATCTCCTATAATATAGACCAACGCATTAGCAGGTGTTTCATCACATTGCTATTTTAGAGTGTCTCAAGAAGCATAAAGTCCTATTTAGGCTATTGTGATCTTTAATTTTCTTTGTAAACAAATAAATAAAAGGTTAAAGATGGGTGTCTTCATAAAATTTGTGTTTGTTTGTATACTCATTGTGCTTCTTATTTGCGTATGACTTAATAATATCATTGAGTTTACATAGGTAATTAGCTGGCTTAGCGGGACTTAGAGCAATCACGAAACTTTGAAAACAAATATAGTTGGTAGCAGAGCTACGGTTAAGACTGGCCAACTCATTTGCTTTTCAATTATCCAAGGAAAAAACTTACCATTTCTTTATTTAAAAGAGCAAACGACTTTTTCCCACCTAAGGTTTGCCTTAATGACTTTCCCACCCAAAAAGTTTCAAAATACCATTTTTCCACCCAAAGTTTATATTCTATTTACTATCTAGTATACACTTTTCGATTTGGTGACCAAGAGAGAGCAAACTTAGTTTAGGCTACTGGGGCTTTTGAAGAGGGGATGCTAGTGAGTCTTTTGGTGGTGGCAGATTAGATCTTGGTGGTTGGAATTGGTCGAAATCTGACTTAGGAGGGGCAACTACGCATTTCACAAATTACTTGATTGCCGGCGATTTGCGAGCTCAACAAGAGTAAGGTTTGAAGGGTTTTGGTGAGTTTGGGGTCACAAAGATGTTGGAATCGGTTGGCGATTGGTCATAATATAAATTTTGGGTGGGAAAGTTGGATTTTAAAATTTTTTTGGATGAAAAAATATCATTAAGACAAACCTTGGGTGGGAAGAAGTCCTTACTCGTTTTAAACTGAGTAAAGTTATTCTAAATAATAAAATAACGTGATAAGTGGCACTGGCATCATTACGGTGATAAAAAAATGTCAAAATATTGTTATTTTAGTTGCCAAAATTAAATTCGTTAATGAAAATTTGATTCATTTTGTCGGGGAATTAATGGATAGATTGAATTTTAAAAGAGTACTATTATACCAATCATCATCTCCCATTAACTTTTTTTTCATAATTTTGACAGTTTATAATTGGTCGGTGAGTCTCACATAGGTTTACCAATTAATCGTAAATTGGTCAATGGTAAGTTATTCCGTCAGAATTACGAGAGAATAGAATTGTTGGGTAATATCACTCATTTTAAAATGTTAAAACCCTCATGCCATAATTAGTGTGACTTCAACGTGCCCATCACTACCTTCCTTCTTAATTTCAGCAGTACCCACCACAATTCAGCTCAGCTGCCACCAATTTCACCCAAACACCCATATTTCGTCAAAGCCATGGGGGTGTCAAGGCTACAGAGCTTAAGATTTGGGACAATAATCTCTGGAGTTGCCAACGTAATGGTGGTGATCATTGGTGGGATTCTTATTTTTGTTGCGTTTCCTTCTTGTGATGCCCACAAGCTTTTTCCCATTGGGGTTGTTTCATTGGCCGCTGGGATTAAATTTGGCGCCATGATTAAAACAGGGATGGCACAAGAAGCCACTGCCAAATCCGTTCTTGATTCTACTGCTGACACCATCATCCGCAATGAAAGAAGGGTAATTTTTTTTTTTTTAAACCAAATGCAATGCTGGGAATGTTTGTTTGTTTGTGTTGAGCAATTGAAGAAGAACCACGTTTGTTGTTGTGTTTCTTTGGGGTAATTTTTTAAACATGCATCAGACACTAACTAGAGTTTAATGAAGTCTAAATAGAAGTGTAGACACTCTTTTCTATATGTACTGATCTTGAATCATATGCTACAATCAACTAGCTTTCATTGTTGGGCTTAATTTCGTCTTCTTCGCTGTTGTTTAAATGTCTAACCAAGGGTTACATAGAGGATTGTTTACTTACATATAGTATGAGCATGGTGGTGAGGATGCTTTAAATGGTTTACTAAAGCCTAATTAGTATTTTTAGGAGTACACTTTTGGTGTATTGTAGTTTCTTTTAGAAGTTTAGTTGTGTTCTAGTCATTTTAGTATTTGTATATGAAATAACTTTATTGTATGCATTTCAGCTTATTTCAGAATACTTTTAGGCTATTTGGTGGATATTGTAGTTTCTTAGATGAGCAAAAAAGAATGTAATGTGAAGATGTAATGTACTTATCAAATGTATATTGTAGTTTATTACAAATCATTTGCTGGTTTCAACCACCGTTCATTTTTTGGCATAATTTGTCTTCAGAGCTATCACTTAAGATGTCTAACCATGGGTTACCTATAGGATTATTCACTTAATTATACACCCCTTTTCCTGTAAACTTGTTTAATGCATAGGGCTATCGCTCAACTGCTATAACTCTAACATACAAGAAAAAAATGTTTTTTTGCTTCTCTGAACAGCTGAGGTACAAAACATGGCTTTGGTGGACCCGTTTTGCAATAGTAATTGCATTGTTTCAAGTTGTGGGTGCAACTTACCTCTTGTTCAACATGGCTAAATATGTTTCTGATGATGAAACTCCAAGTAGGTGTGTTTTAGGTAAGATGTTCATTCTTGCATTATCTTTATGTGCTTGTTATTGTTGTTATTATTATCACATGGCTTGAGAATTAAGTTTGTGTTTGCCTTTGGGTGATTTACAGCTTCAGCTTTTTCTAATACTTTTGAATGAAAATTTCTCATTTCTTTAAAAAAAAAAAAAAAAAGTAATATACAGAGAAAAAGTTAAAATATTTTACCACATGAAGTCTTTATTACTTCATCGGAAATGGGTAAGTTCAGCCCTCCATCCATTAGCTGCAAAACCAAGGTTTGATTCCAGTAATAATTTAATGAGATTGATCTTGTTATTTGGAGAAAAGAAATGGGAATCATGTCAAGGTATGAGCTGAAAATGTGGCTTTAATATTATTTAAATAAGGGAAGTTACTTTTCCAAGTCTGTAAACTAGTTTAACAATTTTTTCTCTTCTACTTTCTTCTTCTCTCTCTCATTTATTTTTTTAACCGAGAAAAACAAAATAAAGCAATGGATAAACATCTGTTTCACTATTATGGATTAACTCAGGTGTGAAAAATTAAACCAAAACCTTAGCAGGGCTGGGTTATTCAGGTTGATGATATTAGAAACTTACCATTCTGTTCAGCAATTTGAATTTTTTGTTGCAGGAGTGTCTTCAAATGGTAACTGGTGGATGCAAAAGCTATTGCTGTTATTTGTCATCATGGTCTGTTTTGTAGCACTAGTGCAGTGTTTTATAGGTTCTGATGTTTTAAGATGGAGGTCCTTTTATGCAACCCAAGATGATGTATGGAAAGCTCACTATCATGAAGTATTTGATCATGGCATTCGTGAGATAATGTGCTGTTTTGGACGTATTCAATACTTGTAAGTCAGTTCGTTAAGTATCATATTCATTATTGGTCGATTCCATCTGATTTCAACTTTTATAATTTGTCCAGAACTGTCTCAGAGGAAGATGAAATATATTCAGTAGCAAAATTACTTGGTGATCTTGTTGCTTATCGTGCATCAGGCACTGGCCATTTGGAACTTTTGGCAGGTCTGTTTTGAGTATTTTGACCTTAGTTAGTTTCTTAGTATATTCATGTAGCTGTTTCATGCAATTTCTTTGTATGCTTATTTTTGTTTTTATTTTTATTTTTTGGGCCACTCCCTGATAGGTAGGATATAAACCTTAACCCTGTGCTGATGCTGATCCCAACCAACCTTCTCCCTAATCCTAAACCCCAAGGATCTTGATATTATAAGAGAGATTGGAATTTTGTTAGCTTTCTTTCTGTTTATTTCCCCCCCTGCTAAGTATATATATGTAAGATTTGACATGCTACCACATGCTTATGTATTTGTTTTTTCATTTATTGTCAATTCTGTTTGTGTATAAGGCCTATGTAACAATTACATACTATACAAAATAAAATTATTAAATCTTCAGCAAGAAAGGCATAACAATTATAGAATAGATTTTTTTCTGAATAATTTTTAGTGACTTTCCTAAATCCTCGGTCTATAATTCAAGTTATACATCCTCAATTTTTTCTTCACCAGTCTGTCTTGCCTGACTTTATAAAGCATTATCTGTTCAGGTTTAGCTTTATTGCAGAGGCATAGCCAGTCCCCAATATCATATGAAGGATTTCTCGAGGCACCTCAAGAACGGCTTCAGGAAGCTGCTGCTTTTCATAAATTTGCTGAAGCTGCCTACACTGTATTAAGAAACATTTTGTTTCTATCTTTAATAATAAACCTTTTTATAGTTACTTATAATCAATCTTATACATAAGTGATGCGTGATGCAGGGCCCATTACTTGATGTTGGAAGAAATCCTATATTATTTCCTTGTGCATGGCTTTATAGGCAAGGGGTTTTGTCTCCATGGACTCGTAGCAGGTAACCAGTTGATTATAAATCTTGCCTCAGGGACCTGTATGTAAAAGGGTTTGAAGTTATGCTGCAAATGTGTTAAGAAAACTGAAGATCCTTGTAATAATTATGGTGATTTTGTTCGTCAATCAATTTTATATAGAAAAACTAAATATCAATGACTATTTTAGGATGAAATTGCACCTAGTGTAAGCGTAGCAGCCCCCACATCATTTCATAACTTTTGTGGGATTCATTTTTTGGGCAGATAACCTCTAGATCTAATGTTTTGCCCCTGTTATACATGCCAATTTCTAATCAATTGGACATCATCTATCTGGTTCTTTTAGTGATAGTTCCTGTGGACCTGTTTATGTGGAAGTGATATGCTCCATATGGATAACTAATCACCTTGAAATTTGGTATGTGTGATATATGTATACTTGTGAGGAACATCTTGAAGATTACATTATGGCCTCTATTAGGATTCAGGGAATATATTTTTAGAAAACTTATAAAGAGGGTCTCTGACCTACATTTTGACCCTTCTTTCGTATGTATAATTTGAGTTATTAGAAGTTACTACCCAAAATGTGTCATATCTCATAAATACTCTATAATTTTTATAAACACACGTGAAATACCATTGGCACCTCTGTATACTTTTCTCCAAGGTTTGCCTTTTTTTGGCATTTTTAATGTGTTGTATCTCTCATACATTTTGTATAAAAGGGGATCCCCTTTGTCTATACACACACATGAAAATAGTGGTATGTACAACATATCTACTACTGCTTAGAAAATCTTTTAGTCCGTTGCAATCATGAACTTTTATTCGATTCTTCTCAGGCGACCCATGCTTGATGGTGATAATTGGTGGCGAGGCCATGCGGCAGCCTTTCTAAAGTACGTCAATTTATCCCCAGATGTACTTCGGCAAGGACGTGTGGGTCAGGTGAGTTTATGTTGATAGTACTTTTTATCTTGGTTTTGCAACAAAAATAGGTTGGAGATGGGTTTGTATTGAAAAACTTGTTCTAGGCTTGAAACTCGATGGACATATGACTATATATATATCTTGCATAAATCTCTTTGATGGTTTTTACCATGTTGATAGCACTTTTTATCTGAGCTTTGCAAATGAAGGAGATTGATGACTTATTATCGAGTAAGCCTTGTGGGATTGCAATATTGCTATTAGAGAAAAATACCATCTAAACTGTGACCATGATAAGGACAAAGTCATGCAATCTAAATGTGTTAATGCTTTAGAATTTGCAGTATTGGCATTTCAACCAAGAGATGAATTCTATAAATGTGGAAGGTAAGATAAATAAGGGTCCATTCGCTATTATTCAAGAAAATGAAAATAAGAAATGGAAACAACAAATAGGATATAGTACTTCCGAGACTCAAAATTCTTCTTGTATCATTTTTTGAAAAACAGTATTTTGATATGAGAACAGTAGAAATTCTTCTGGTGGAAATGTAGTTAATATCCAATGGTATTATTTGTTTCTTTCACTAAATTTTAAGTCTGTGACTAACCAATAAATAATATGCTTATTTTTAATTTGGTTGCTTTAATTCTTTTAGTACAATTAACGCAGTTGATTGTACATGAATCTTATATCTGAACTAGCTATTTTGAACAGTTTGAAATATTAATCTAAATTCATAGTTGCTGAATGCTTATTGGTAAATTAATTTTTGAATGTAGAGAGAAAATTTATTGCTTTAAATGTCATTTGTAGAAATTAGTTCTTAACTAAGTTAATTTTTATAAGAACTAACACTTAATGACAAAATGTTTAGTTGAAAATTTCTTATGGAATGGAGGTTTTTCCTTTTTCTTTTCTTTTACAAAATCTGGCAAATTATTTTGTGCTTTCACAAACATTTTCTGAAACCAACTATCGATTTTTATTTTCGAACTTAGAAATCATGAGGTCATTTTAAAAAACTGATACATTATGCTCCTAAATACTTCAATATAAAGTTTTCTTAATTCCTAGGGCTTTTCTTAGCTAAATTCAGCTCAGGTAAAGTCTGGAGGCATCTGTATTCTGTGTATCAGAAATTTACTTGTTTAATATCCTAGTTACATAGTGTGAGTTCATCAAAATGAATCCCTCTTCTGAAACAGCATAATTGTTCTTTTCTTTTATTTTTGTTTTGAGCTACCTAATTTTGTGATTCAGAATGGTAAACTTGTTTTGATTTCCACAAACACTATGCTCTTTTATTTTACTATTACTTCAATTGTAGAGGATATTACTGCAGAATTTATTTTTTTTATTTTTTTCTGAAAACTGTCACTCCACTTGCTAAAAATTCTTCTGTTATCTTTTCATTTTTAAAAATGCAAATTTCTTATTATTATAACCTCAGCGATCTAACAGATGTTTTGGGTACTCTATATGGATTCTTTCTTCTCTAGGAAAAATGTAAAGCTGCATACTTTATTTTGGTTTTACATCATCTAAAATCTGTGGTAATTGCTGTACGAGGAACTGAGACCCCTGAAGACTTAATAACTGATGGTTTAGGCAGGGAATGTCTCCTTTCTGCTGAAGATTTGGATGGGTTAATGAAGTATGTCTCTCTCTCTCTCTCTCGTGCTAAGTGTGAGTAGATACAGAAGCACATTTAGCAATTTTAAGTAGTGTACACATACATGGTTTTGTGTGCTGAATGTAAGGAAAGTGAAAGTTTCATCACTTCATGTCGTAGCTTTGAGTATCAATTCAGACAATCCCGTATTTCTTACATTTCATTAATAAAGAGAGTAATAGGAGATAAGGAAATAGGCTGAATTAAGAATGGTAAAGTGGGGAAAATGAAAAATGCTAAAGCCTTCTGTTTCATAACAATTGCAGAATATTTATCTTGTGTCTGTATCTTGAGCACTAGTGAAATGTTAAAAAGTGCATGTACTTAAGACGGTCATGATTTATTAAATTGATAAACTTGAATAAGTTTATATTTTATATTTATTGTGCAAAGTTGCCCTTGGTAGAAAAATTCTTGACTTTTTTGTAGGGACAAAATTTATCATTTGATTCAAACTCATCCAAAATTTATGCAATATAGAATCAGAGCACAAAACATAGTAATCATCAGTTGTCTACGTTTTGATATATAATACATGTTTGCCTTCTTGATGTCATAATATATATTTCACCAGTATGGTCAACTGATATTTGTGTTGCATATGAAGCTCTGTCTCGGAGTCATTGGTAAAAATGCTAGGGGCAATTATTGCTGATCTACCTGAAGATTTACCCCAATTCCAAACACACCTCTTATAATTTCATAACTTTCTCTTACCTTTCCTTATAGAACAAACCTCAAGAGAAGTCAGTAATTTACAAAAAGCAAAAATGAGAGTTATTTTTGAAACTACAGGGAGTATATTTAGGGTTTTTGCAAAATACAAGGGACATCTGAATAATTACCCATGTGTATATAAGAAAAATCTGACTAGCTACCAACCTTGTTATCTGCACAAGAAAATATACCAAATCAATGATTCTATAATTATAAGAGGGATCACACTAAGTTACTGGCCTCAATAACATTATTGACCATTTTTTTTGTTCAAGTAGCGACGTTTCAATTTCATGTTCTTAAACATGTTTTAGTAACTATACTTAAATGTTTATAGTAATTAAAACATTGGTACTTGAGACTTAAAAAAAGGGTTAACAATATTACCCGGTTAGTAATATAGCAGTTCCAATATGATAAACATTCAAGTCATCAGACAATATATAGCATCTAAGCTTCCTGTAAAACTGTGACATGGTTCTAGGTTTTTACAAGGTCATATGCACTTTAATTCATTGAAGTAACATATATAATTGTTTGTATCACTTTAGAATTTGTATGGTTTTTAAGCTCTTCTAAAAGAATCAACCTCCACATATGAACTTATTTTTGTTTTTTTCTTCAGTAGTCATATTCACCTTGATATAAAGCAAAGCGTGGAATCATCTTCCCCACACTATGGGCACCTGGGTATAGTTGAGGCTGCACGGGAGCTTTATATGCAAGTTGAGGGAAATCCTAGATATGATAATGATGGTATTGTTATTAATAATTGTTGATTTTTCTGTTCTAGTCCTTCTTCATGGCTGTTATTATTCTTGCCTTCATCCTTGGTTATTATTTGATATGAATAGCTAATTGGAGGAGGAATTTGGGCTTTGATCACAGAAATATTTTAATTTGGTTAAGTGTACAAGGAATGTCGAACGTGAGGGAAATAATAATTCAGATCTATTTCCGTCAGTTTATTCACTAAACAATAATGGGTGCTTTCTTGAAAACCCTTCTTGTAAGGGTCATTTTTGAGTAACAATACAGTCCAATTNTGGGAGGAGCTAACCCTCGAAGTTAGCAATTAGGGAGGAGCTGGCCCTCGAAGTCCAACATATATATTTTTCCATTAGTTTCCATTGTTTGTTAATTGAATTCTTGTAAATCTGACGTTGAGATATAGTCCATAGCTGAGTGTAATTCTGAACTTCTCAATGCAATATATACTCTATTATTTTGGATGTTTACATGATATTTACAATGAACTGTTGATTACTTCTGGTGTTAGTATTTGTGTATGAGTGAGCAAGAGATCTGGGTAGGTTTGCATCAAATGGTATCAGAGCAGTTCGATAATGGAATGGGTGATACAAGAATGGAAGTTAGAATAGAAAATGTAGAGAGGGAAGTGTCAAAACTTGGGAGAGATATTGGTGTTGTTCTGGATGGTTTAATGGAGATACGAGAATGGATGAGGAGAAAGGATGAAGAAGACGAGAGAAGAAGAGGCAGAGAAATTTCGTCGAAAAGACAGAGGTCGAGAGAAAACGAACAGGGACGAAATATGGGGCACCGAGTTGAAGGAGAAAACTCAAACACTGGTGGCCGGAAACTGGAGCTTCCTATTTTTTCCGGCGAGGATCCTCATGGGTGGATATTCAGAGCTGAACAATATTTTTCAGTCAATGGAATCACTGAATTAGATCGTCTCACAGCAACGGCCATGTGTATGGAGGACGGCGCTGTAAATTGGTACCAATGGATGGAAGTTCGAGCTTTGATAACTTCTTGGGCAACCTTTAAATTGTTGTTGCTTCACCGTTTTAGTGGGTCACATGAGGGAAGTCCATACGAAGCACTAATGGGAATCCGATAGCTAGGCACGGTGGAGGAATATCGTCGGAGGATTGAAGCGGTCTCTGCTCCTTTGGTTGAAGTTAAAGAAGAAGTTTTAATGGTTGCCTTTCGTAATGGGCTGAAATCGGAAATTCGGGCCGAAATCAGGTTAGCCCAACTTGATAATTTAGTTCACTTATTAGATTTGGCCCAACAAAAAGAGAAGAAAAAATGGGCCTTGGAAGACTTAAAATTTGGGCTGGACAAACATGGGAAAACAATTATAACTGAGCACGGGCTTGGACAAACTGAAATTGGACCTAGAAGAGGACATGGGCCAGCAGACTTGGGGCTTGGGCAAGGAATCGGGTCAGAGGAATTCGGGTCAAGGGTCCAACTCCCTTATAACAAAAACAAATCGCATGACTCCAGATCTTCCCTTCTCCTCGACAGTCCAAAATATCCAGCCAACCCAACGCCGGCATGCCGATCTTGGGAGGAGGCACGTTCTAATTCCATGCCAACCGCCGGTTACTGGAGCACAAGCTTGGAAGCGCTTCGAACGATCGATTCCAACATCCCTCAACTACGAACAACCCTTTTCCGACGAATGACAAAAGTGGAGGAAGAATTTAGTAAGGAAGCAGAGGGCGGTGAAGGAGTGGAGGAGCGGGATGGTGTCGGGTAACCAATTTCCCTCCTTCCACCTTGAGGACAAGGTGGTACTGCTTGGGGCGGGTAATGATGAGACCCTGAGTGTGCTGGTCTATTGTAGGAAACATAAGGTTGGGAAGTAGGGGATTTTGGTGATGTGGCAGGAAACTTCCAGGGGTTTAGGCTGGGACAGGTGGCGATTAAGGGTTGGGACAGCAAAGGAATTCAGTTAGGGAGAGAGAGANTTCAGATCTATTTCCGTCAGTTTATTCACTAAACAATAATGGGTGCTTTCTTGAAAACCCTTCTTGTAAGGGTCATTTTTGAGTAACAATACAGTCCAATTGATAGTGGCCAGTTCATTAATAAAATTGAAACAGAGATCTACCTTAAAGTCGAATGAGGAAAACCAATTCAACTTGAATAAGTATTAATAAGACTTAAATCTTGAAATTCCTAAACAAATAATAAATTTTTAGTCTTTTGATTCTCCATCATTTTTCAGTATATGAATTGCATTCCACCTCATATTTCTTCTGACCAATTAGTGAAAATGGAATGCAGATTTTGGTTCAACTGGATTCCTTTCCTCATTACTGGGAGCTGGATGTGAGTGTGATGGTTACAATGTGCGATTAGTAGGACATTCTTTGGGAGGTTCCATTGCTACATTGCTAGGACTGAGAGTATGGCTTTCTTTGTTTGCACTGATACAATTATCTCTTTTATTTGCTTAATCTATCTTTTTTTCAGTTATCAGTTGAAACATCAGACTTTCTACTGAGATGACCATTGTCATTTTAATAAAATTTAGAAAATTTGGCAGTAAAAAAGAGGTAATTACTGATTATGTATCCTTTGAATAAGGTGATTGCGGAATGTACATATAGCACACCACCCACTGATAAGACCCTTAGTGTGCTGGTCTATAATAAGAAATGTAGGAAAGGGCAGTAGTGGATTAACTGTGATAAAAAGGCAATTAACGTGTGAAGAGAAGAAAAAGTGGAATGGATAGGTGGCGAAAGGAGAATGGTGGATGGTTGAATTCTGTTAGGAGAAGGGAGTGAATAAAAGGAGCAGCAGAGATTGAGAGGGGGGTATCTGAAAAGTGAATATAGTGAAGAGGAGGTAGCTGGCCCTCGAAGTCCAGCATATTATTATTTTGTTGTTATTTTGTTTAATTTCCTTGATGTTTCCTTGAATTGTTTGAATATACTCTTGTGCTTATCACTCTGGGTGTGGTTGGGTAAAAGAATCTAGGTAGGTTCGCATCACCCACCCACCCCAAATATTTATATTGACACAAATTTTAAGCCTTTATGTTAGTTTAGTTTGAATAAACGAGATTCAATCCAACATGCATAATTAACATACCTTAGAAATGATACATGTTTGATTGAATCTCTACACAAAGTGCATTAATTAAATGACTCAACTTGTTTGAGAACAATTTATGTCATTTTTTCATGCAGAGTTTTCCTAGAGGTTATTCCCTCCCCTATTGTCTGCTTCCATTCAACTCCTAACAATAGTATTTTGGATTTCTTAAAGAACATGATTGTTTCCTCCTTTCTGCTGCAGCTATATGGTCGATTCCCAAATTTGCATGTATATACTTATGGTGCCCTGCCGTGTGTGGATTCAGTGATTGCAAATGCTTGTACAGAATTTATTACAAGGTAATTTTGATTGCCATTCATACTGCTGAAAGTTTCAAAGAAAATAATCTGCTTTCTTTTGCTAGAGGTTTCATGATCTTGTTTCATTGTAAAGTGTTGAGCTTTCTGCAGCGTTGTATACGAAAATGAATTTTCTGCACGCCTTTCAGTTGGATCGATCCTGCGGCTACGTGCATCTGCAATAATGGCACTGGCACAAGATACTACAACTGATATAGCATTAATTTTCAGACTTGCACGCCAGTTTCTCTATGCAAGCAAGTATCAAATAAGTAAAATTGAGGCAAAAGACGCAGCTGTAAATCATTCTGAGATCAACACGACTGAGGATTTCAATAACCACATCCATGGGGGTCAGTATGAGGATGATGCAAGAGCTAGTCTCTTTCTTATGCTTGTTTATTATATTGCATGCTAAAGTTATGCATGATTCTTTTTTTGTTCTCATGACTGTGAGAGATCATATGCCACTTCAATTTGTTTTTTAGGGGACAAAAGGTATCTTTGCTAAAATATTTTAACTTCACTCCAGGGGCCAAGCAACCAAATAGAGAGTGTTCCATTTGGAATGAGGATGACTCAAGAGAAAATATTGTTGAAACGGATGGTGATGATTTTATTAATCCATTCCATGACATTGCTGCTGGTGCTAGTCCATTAGGTGATCCTGTGTCTTGTTTAATGGAAACCGTCTCTAGAACCGAAAATGGGACAGCCGGAACTCCCACCGAGGTGTTTTTGCCTGGCCTTACAATTCATATAGTGTTGCAACGACAAAGCTTGAATATTCCTCTGTGGGCAAGCTGGAGAACCCAAAAGAGGAATCACAGTTATAAAGCTTTTATAGCAAACAGAGAAAATTTTACAGATATAGTTGTTTCACCATCGATGTTCCTTGACCATATGCCCTGGAGGTATAACTGAGTTTTTTCTTAGTTGTATAATCTTTGTGCTATAAACGAATCGGTAAAAGCTTGTTAAATGAATTTCTTTTGACCAAGTTTATATTTTCCAGATGTTACCAGGCCATGCAAAAGGTATTGGAAGCTCGAGCTGCTCAAGAAGCCCAAGAGTAGCAGCAGATGTACCTCAAATCTTGTACTGTAAATTCTAGAAGGTTGACTCTAAACTTTGTTTCTCTTATATGGTAGCCTCCAGTGTATCAACGATCTCTCTGCCATATGGGGTAAATCTGCATGTTTGGATATCCAGATTAGTGAACTAAGCCAAGGAAGAAAACCAACCATTATTGACAGAAGGGATACCCTTCGAGTACTTGATACCCAAGTGATGAACAGCGTTTCAAAGTTAATGTTGTAATTTCCTAAGTCCAGGGTTCTCAATTGTGGTGGCCATTTTGCAAGCCCAGCCCTTCGTTTTAACAAAACTTTTTGTCATAGTAATGGACAACAAAAGTCTGTAGTAAGAAGACAATGTGCAAAGATGATGAGAAATCCTATAAAAGATAACATATCAGGAAGATGCAATGCTGCTATAATTGGTAAATTTGTTGGCTACAGTGATCTCTAAAAGATTCTTCTGCAGAAACCGCTTTATTAACCCAAGGCGTACCCTCATTATGTCTGAAGTATGTTCCTAGGTTGATATGATATTTTCTGCTATCACTGAAGCTTTACCCTCAATCGATCGATTCAATTCTAGAGTGGCGGGTTTCATGAAACCCTGAAGAACAGTTATCCTGCCACCTAAGCTTTGTCTTTTAAAGTACCTGTCATTAGTAAATGATAGTATGTATATATTGTGTCCCCCATTCTTCTAGAGTTACAAAATTAAATATAAACTAAGTTGGCCCATCATATATAGGCTTTCATAAGTTTGTTTGGATAATACTTGTTTTCTCCGAATTTTTGAGCTTGGGTTGACAAAAGAAATTATAGCTTAATCTCTGTTCTAGTTTGATTGATCTTGGGAACAAACCTCAAGCTCCATTTCTAGTAAACTTTTTGTTCATGAATTCAATCCTAAATAAAGTTATTTCTATTCATCTTCTTCTCTTTATTTATTTATTTAGTTTATGAAAACCAATTATCTAAAATATTTTATACTTGAAAATATGTGATTACTTTTATCATGGATTGATACAAATTAATACATAGCAAATTGGTATTCACAGTCATATGCCAAACTCTAGGAAAATCTTCTAAAGGTGGTGTTTGGGCTTGGAAATTTAATGTCTCTATCTTGAGCTTCGTTTAATTTGTTTAGTGAATTAAGCTGACTCAAGTTCTGTTAGATCCTACTTTGAGTAGTTTCTTAGTTCTTTTGCACCCCTTGAAGCTACTTATGCAAATGCAATATATAAATGTGTTTTTACAACTATATATTACATATGTGCATGATAGGAACCTGATTGATTCACCGTCAACCCACTCAACTCACACAAAGAACAAGAGTAAACACTGAATAATGCTTTGATATTTGTATTAATAATCTGCAGAACTGAATGTTCCAGTACTGAGAACTTTAATGGAAAATGAAGAAGAACAGAATGCAGAAAATGAAAAGAAAGATAACTCTAGCACTTCGAGGAGCTAGGACCCTCCCAATACAACTTTGTGAATAATCACATACCCTGTACAGCTTTCGTAACCTTCTTATACCCAATTATCTTAACAAACTTATTCTACTAGTCTGTAGGCCAAACAAACTCCTTTGCTAATCTGGTGCCACGTCTAAATATTCCTTTTTAAGCAGATTCCCTTGCTGCCCTCCTCTGAACCTCCTGGAATGTCTAGTTTCCTATCAATACCCCCTCCTAGGAGAGCCACCTTGTCCTCAAGGTGAAAGCTAGGATACTGATTAGCAATGACATCATATGGCTCCCACGTAGCTTCAAAAGAAGGAAAATCCTGCCACTGAATTAGGACCTCCCTAGAGCCATCCAAAAGAGTTCGAATATCCAGAACTGAAGCAGGATGGACCATTAACTCTAAGTCCTCAGTCAAGAAGGCCGGGAGAGCTTGGATAGGGACTGCTGAGTGCAAACTTTGCTTGAGTTGAGACTTTGGCAGTACGAGGGAGATCTAATTTATAAGCAACTTCCCCTATCCGTTCCATAACTGCAAAGGGACCATAGAAACGGGGGCTCAGCTTCTCATTGAATTTCTTGGATAAAGACTTGAATTTATATGGTTGTAGCTTGAGGTAGACAAGATCACCAGGGTGGAAAACTACGTCCCTACGGTGGGCATTGGCTGTAGTTTTCATACGNTAACCTTCTTATACCCAATTATCTTAACAAACTTATTCTACTAGTCTGTAGGCCTAACAAACTCCTTTGCTAATTTGGTGCCACGTCTAAATATTCCTTTTTAAGCAGCTCCCATGTGGCCTTCAAATCCACTTTTATTCTTCCTCACGTACACCTTGCTGCTAGGCTGTGTAATTCCCTTGTTGCCCTCCTCTGAACCTCCTGGAATGTCTAGTTTCCTATCAATACCCCCTCCTAGGAGAGCCACTTTGTCCTCAAGGTGAAAGCTAGGATACTGATTAGCAATGACATCATATGGCTCCCACGTAGCTTCAAAAGAAGGAAGATCCTGCCACTGAATTAGGACCTCCCTAGAGCCATCCAAAAGAGTCCGAATATCTAGAACTGAAGCAGGATGGACCATTAACTCTAAGTCCCCAGTCAAGAAGGCCGGGAGAGGTTGGATAGGGACTGCTGAGTGCAAACTCTGCTTGAGTTGAGACACATGGAAAACTGGATGGATTTTGGTAGTAGGAGGGAGATCTAATTTATAAGCAACTTCCCCTATCCGTTCCACAATTGCAAAGGGACCATAGAAACGGGGGCTTAGCTTCTCATTGAATTTCTTGGATAAAGACTTGAATTTATATGGTTGTAGCTTGAGGTAGATCACCAGGGTGGAAAACTACGTCCCTACGGTGGGCATTGGTTGTAGTTTTCATGCGAGTTTGCGCTGCATGTAGGTTGTCTTTAAGATCCTCCAAAAGAGCATTGCGTTCGACCATTTGCTGGTTAATATCCTCCACAGCAGATTTAATTTCAGTGAATTTCAGGAGAAGTGGGGCGTCCCATCCATAAAGAGCCTTGAACGGAGTCATTTTGGTAGCGCTGTGGTACGAGGTGTTAAACCAGAACTCGGCCCAAGAGAGCCATTTAGGCCAGTGCTTAGGTTTGGAGGAGGTGAAACAACGAAGATAAGTTTCCACACAACGGTTAACCACCTCTGTTTGTCTATTTGTTTAGGGGTGATATGCCGAACTAAACTTAAGGATAGTCCCTGCCAACCGAAATAATTCAGTCCAAAAATGACTCATAAATACCCGATCTCTATCCGAAACGATGGATTTGGGAAACCCATGAAGACATACTATCTCGTTGATGAAAAGGGTCACAACCTGCTTAGCATCATAAGGGTGGCATAACAAAAGAAAGTGACTATATTTAGTCAACTTGTCAACAACGACCAGTATAGTGTCATACCCATAAGCCTTAGGGAGTCCCCCGATAAAATCCATAGAAACATCATCAAATGCTAAATTAGGAATGGGAAGTGGCTGCAAAAGGTCGGAAGGTTTTAAGGCCTGATGCTTGTTCTGTTGACAGACGCCACAAGCCAGGACAAACTTTTGAACATCATGTTTAATGCCTTCCCAAAACAGTATGCTAGTAATTCTTTTGTAAGTTCGATAAAAACCAGAGTGCCCGCCACTTGGAGTGTCATGTAACTCATGGAGCAACCGGGGAATAAACTCAGATGTCTTGGGAAGTGCTAACCTGCCCTTGTAGAGGAGGCAGCCATTACGAAGAGTGTAATTTGGCCGAGATGATGCATGAAGTAGCAAATCCTGCACAACTACCTTGAGTTTTGGATCTTGGAAAGCCTCAGCAGCCAAATCTTCATACTCACCGAAGTGTGCTATTGATAAAGCATGCATGGACACAACTGATTCCCGGCGGGATAAGGCATCGGCAACTTTATTGGAGCTGCCAGGTTGGTACTGGATCTCGAAGGAGAATCCTAACAATTTGGAGATCCATTTGTGCTGCTCAGGAATCAAAGGTCGTTGGTCCATCAGGAACTTGAGGCTGCGCTGGTCCGTCTTGATAATGAACTTCCGACCAAGCAAGTAATGGCTCCATTTGCGGATGGCGAAAACAATTGCCATGAGCTCACCCTCATAAACTGACTTTTGTCGGGATGAGTAGGAGAAAGCCTTGCTAAGAAAAGCTATTGGGCGGCCTCTTTGTACTAGTACAACGCCTATTCCTAATCCTGACGCGTTAGTGTGAACCTCAAAGGGCAGTGAAAAATCAAGAATGATCAACACTGGAACAGTCACCATAGCGTGCTTGAGAGTATCAAAGGCCTTTTGTGCTTTCTCACCCCAACGAAAGGAATCTTTCTTAAGCAATTGGGTTAGTGGGTGGGCTATTTGTCCATAATTCCGAACAAATCTTCTGTAGTACCTTGTGAGCCCCAAGAATCCCCGTAAGCTCTTTAAGGTGGGAGGGGTTGGCCAAGATAACATGCATTCAATCTTTGTCGAATCTGCCTCCACCCCGTTCACTGAGATTAAATGGCCCAAATACTCCAATTTCTCCTGAGCAAATACACATTTATTTTTATTAAGGACCAGCTGGTGCTCCTGCAATGTCTGGAAAGCCTGTCTCAAATTCAGAATGTGAGTAAACAAATCAGTGCTATATGTGAGAATGTCATAAAAAAAACAAGAATGAACTTGTGGAGGAATGGCTTGAAGATGTCATTCATCAAGGCTTGGAATGTGGAAGGAGCGTTAGTTAGGCCGAATGGCATAACTAAAAACTCATAATAGCCTTCATGGGTTTGGAAAGCAGTCTTTGGGATATCCTCATCTCGAACCCGAATCTGGTGGTAGCCCGATTTAAGGTCAAGTTTTGAAAATATGGATGCACCCCCTAACTCATCCAATAACTCGTCGATGGTGGGTATCGGAAATTTATCAGGAATGGTGAGATCATTCAAAGCCCGATAGTCGACGCAAAATCGCCAACTTCCATCCTTCTTTTTTACTAGTAAAACGGGGCTCGAAAAGGGACCTATGCTAGGTTGGATAATACCCGCTGCTAGCATCTCACCCACCAATTTCTCAATCTCATTTTTTTGAAAAAACGGGTATCAGTAAGGCCTAATGTTGGGGGGTTGAGCCCCTTCTCGGGGAGTGATGGTATGATCTCTTTTACGATGGGGGGGAAGAGTTCCTGGTTGATCAAAGAGACTAGAAAATTCGGTCAAAACAACCTCCACTTTCGGATGCAAACTTGGGGCTGAAACACTATCTGGATGAGTAATAGAACATAACTCAATAACATATCCCTCCCTCTGTTGGTGTAGTGACTTGAGCATTGCTTTTAACGAAACCACTCTTTTCACTAAGGAAGGATCTCTCTGTAGGGTCACTGATTTTCCATGAACTTCAAACTTCATTGTTAAGCTCTTCCAACTAGAACACACATCACCCAAAGAACTCAGCCAGGATATTCCCAAAACGACATTCGCTCCTCCTAACTCAAACGGAAAAAAATCTTGACAAACTGTGATGCCCTGAATTTCTAGTTCCACTTCTCTACAAACCCCAGTACTCCCTACTGTGTACCCATTCCCCACCATGACACCAAAAGTCTTAGTATCATCCCTACCCAGTTGCAACTTATTGACCAGGTCTTCAGAGATGAAGTTATGGGAGGCCCTACTGTCAACCAACACTATGACTCTCTCCCCTTTAATCTGCCCACGAAGCTTCAGCGTGTTTGTTGAAGGTATACCCACAATGGAACTCATAGATAGGGCAATAGGAGTACCTTCAGTATGGATCTCATCCTCGGGTTTCAGAATGGTTTCTTCCTCCTTAGACTCTTCATCAGCTGTGACATACAAAATCTGTAGTGTTTTATTCCGACAACGATGATTGGGGCCAAACTTCTCATCGCACTTGAAACACAACCC